AACAAAAGAAAAGGGAACAAGGACTTCGAAGCTAGAAAGACCCAGTTAATCCTCTGTATTCCTTTAGGGAAGATTAGTTGATGCCCTATTCATATTGGTACCCAGGGAAAAAGAAGCTGATTCCTCTTATCTCAACCCACACTAGTTTTTCTTGCTCAGTAAGTCAGTTGCACGTGCCATTCTAGTTCATTTTAGAATGATTCACTACCTTCAAAGATCCTGGTACAGAGTCTTTGTGGATATGGGTCAGGCTTGGCCAGGTACTTTCGTGCCTTTTTCCTAAGCCCTTTCAGGCCCCAGCCAGGCCCTTAGAGACCTTTTTCCTGAAACCCTCCCTGACTTCATCCAGGCCCTTGCAGGCCTTTTCCCTGAAGTCTTTTAATGTTCATGCCAAGCTGTCTCTTAAAGCCCCCAGTATGGTATGTTTGAGTATCTGTTTTCACCAATCCATTTCTTTGTGGAGGCTCACCCTGATTACAAAACTTTCGTACAATCATTTCGTTATTATTATCAACCTAACTCTATTCCCGTTAATTCTAATGTTCACCCACATATCTCCCTCTTCTATTGCTAAGAACTGCCACAGCCATCATCACCTCCCTGTATTGATGAGTGTCTTACTGGAGTCTCTGGACGCACCTGTAGACTAAAAGCTAGCAGAACAAACAAATGGCAAGTAACACCATACCAGAAATGAGAAAACTTTAACAGTGTGAAACCACTTCAGAGGGGTAAGATCTGACATTCCATGGGACACATCCTCAAGGATTTCAGATGCAGGCACCAAATTAAGATGTTCCTGAGATGCTTCAAACATTTGGTCTTTCAACTTTGAGATATCCAATCTTAAATTATCTTCTCTTCCTTGAAGATGTCTTCTTACTTCCTCCCATTGGTGTTTAGTATCATCATAAGAATAAGGAGTTATAAAAAAATTACAAGTATTCCAATCACATTTTAGTTGCATTCTATGCTCCAAATTCATGACCGTACCACCTATGCAGATCACAGTTTGCCTAAGATCAATTATTTGATTTGCCAATTTCTGATCAGTTTTCACTTGAGAATCCCACAATCTAGATGAATTATTTTGCCATTTCTCCACAAAGTGTGCAGTTTGAATAGAGTTATGAACTGCAACCCCCACAGTAGTAACTACAATAAGTTCCACAATCACAGCAATCAAGGTTGAACACAAATCTTTTACACCTGCATAAAATTCCTCTCAGAATCTCCATTACTATGTGCATTGACAGGGAAGATTCTCATGGTCTATGTAAGATGACCGGAATCCACACAACTTCCTTTGCTTTTCCTAATAGCACCCTGTCACTTTGATCAAAGGTAAAGTAAATGCAGGTAAACAGTTTGCAGTTTTTACAACTGATAGGGAGTCAGGCAAAATAATTAACTTTCACACTACTGACACATACAGAGGTTTTATACAAGCTCTCAGTGGAATATTCTTTGTAGACATCAAATACATGTGATATCTATAATAGTCAAATTCTCCCATAGTAACTGTTGTATTCCAAATCCCAAGTCCTATAATAGCAAAAATCAATTTCCAAATGTCAAGATCTTCAATACCAACAATATGCTGTATCATTTTAGGCCAGAGGGAAGCTATCTCCTTTTCCTCCCATTTAAGGGTATTGTTAGACTGTAAATGTCTACAAATTAACAGAGGATCATCTTTACTTTCCCTATATGTAATTACTAAAGGATCCTCCTGGCAACCATCAGGCTGGTAAGCACAATCACTACAAGCATGGCTTCCTGGGGTCCAATCAATTAACAGGAGTTCCAAATCTATCCTGTTGTAGTACTACTGCTCTGGTAGCTCTACAGTCTTCTCAGTTCAAAATATCAAATGGGTTGGGTCCATCCTCTGTCCTTTTTAGGACGGCTGTGCAATCCTTTTATTTTAGTGCCAGACATTTTTTTCTTTTCTTTTTTTAGAGACAGAGTCTCACTTTGTCACCTCTGTAGAGTGCCATAGAGTCACAGCTCACAGCAACCATCAGCTCTTAGGCTTAGGTGATTCTTTTGCCTCAGCCTCCCAATCAGTCTGGACTACAGGTGCCCACCACAAGGCCTGGCTATTTTTTGTTGCAATTTGGCCGGGGCTGGGTTCGAACCTGCCACCCTCAGCATATGAGGCAGGCGCCCTACTCACTGAGCCACAGGTGCCACCCATACTGCCAGACATTTTTAAGATCACCACTATCTTCCTAGTTCTAGTACTGACATATTAAGATTTTATAGCAAACAATAATCCACTAAACACAAGAAAAGCCTGATGAGTTTTATTATACTCTAGTCAATGAGACAACCAAATTTTAGTATCTAATTTCAAACAACCTTGTGAAGTACTGAGGCATACAGGTGGACAGTTGTATCCCACTGAAACATTCATTGACATGCCTTCTTCGAGTTAGAAGCCGATCATCAGCAGGCCCCAGCATCCATGTACTATCATTTGTGTAAATTTCAACAGGTGATTCCATCCAAGAGACAGGTCTAATTAACAGTGGAAAGGGCACATATGCCCTATAGGTAAAGTTCTGCTCTGCCTTGGCGGTGGGGAAGACTTACTGCAGCAGTAATTACCATCACTGCAGTCACAACATTAACCATGGTCCTTACCATCTTCCTTTTCCAAAGAATCTTCTCAGTCTTTTTGGTCAGCTCCTGGATTTGGCCCCATATCTGCAGCATCTTCTGGCCAGTATTCTCTGTTGGCTTGGGTTGACTGTCATTTGTTTGAATTTCGTGAGCATTTTTCTCCAAGAAATTCTTGCCTTGGCCTGTCCCTTTCTCTTCTCCTTTGACTTCTTTTTCAAATGACTTATGGTAAAATTTAAGATATCTTACTGGCACTCAAATTGGCAATTGGTTTTCTCCTGGTGAAACACAAGCAAAACCCCTGCCCCGGGTAATTACTTTGCCTAATTCCCAAGTCTTTGTTTTAGAATCCTTCCACCACACAGTCTCTCCTTCATGTGGATTGAGCTTTTAATCTGTAAAATGTTGTTCTGCTGTTGTATATGCTACTGTCCTGAGATATTCAAAAAAATTAAGGTAAAAAGTGCTAAATGTAGTTGCATGTGAGGCGTGGCCTAATCTCCACTTCCCCCTTTCTTGTTTCTGTAATTGCTCTTTCACCATTCTATCTGTTCTCTCCACAATAGCATGGCCTGTGAGTTGTGAGGTATTCCTATCACATGAATAATACTCCACTCTTTTTTTTTTTTTTTTTTTTTTAGAGACAGAGTCTCACTTTGTCGCCCTCAGTAGAGTGCCATAATGTCAAAACTCATAGCAACCTCCAGCTCTTGGGCTTAGGCGATTCTCCTGCCTCAGCCTCCCGAGTAGCTGGGACCGCAGGTGCCTGCCACAACGCCTGGCTATTTTTTGTTGCAGTTTGGCCAGGGCCAGTTCGAATCTGCCACCCGCAGTATATGGGGCTGGCGCCCTAC